TATACCAAGATAGCAGTATTCAGAGAAATATTTCGTGGGAGAATCGAATCCACGACTTATCTAGCCGTTGTTTCACTAACTCGACTGAACGGAAAACTTAACTCCATTAGATAATTATATTCAAAAATTCCATGTGACGAATCGTTTTCAACAATGATCCGCTCGAACAACGATGGTCAGCGAATTGGCACCAAAAAAAATCGATCATTTCATTTACTGTATTTGTATTTTCAGTAATTGTACTTTTAGTTTTGCATTACATTTGTATTATTATATTGATTATTTGTGCATGTTCAAATGCAATGTACCTCCCACTGCTAATGACAATGATTTCATGCTTCATTTATTAAATTAAGTTCTACTAATTAACTTTTTATGTACGGTTTATATAATTGTGATTGCCATTTATGTGTTTTGTGTAGGCCTATTTGATCAGGTGTCAGGTTTCACGTGTACTGTATATCAAATGTAACAGACTGAACTAATATATACTCTTTATATCTATTCTTTAGGGGCAGCTGTATGTTCCCATTCTATAACATGTTTACGTAATATAACGACGTCAGTGGGTGGCTGCCCCATTACATATTTTCAGTTAACTATATATTACAATTTTTGCCGTCATTGAATTTAAATTACAATTCCCATCCAACACGGTGTTGGTTTATTTTTCTCGTCTTCTACTCGCCTCCTGCGACATAAATACATATCTTGTATGTCAACCCAAACAGAGCTATTGTAACACACACGAGAACACAACCAATAAAAGGTGCTCAATTTTAGCCTACATAAAAGATTCAATCTTTATTTTCGACAAAGCTCAATACATTAATTACAATAAAGACAATACATACATGGCAAAGTTATAATACTGTCTGAAAGACGGTAGGGGTGCCAAGAAAAATATAGAAAAAAATATTACGAATTGTCTTAATGAATATTCACTGGTAAAACAAAATATAAACTGGCAATTTAACCTATATAGGCCTCCTCCCTGTGCATTACTAAAAAGGATAGCATTATTCAAAATGAAATACAAAACATCAAAATGGCAACACACAAGAATCTTTGGTCATCATATGAATATTAAATCGCCCTCAATTAAAAAAATATATAAAAATACATAAACCTTTTCTAGAATTTATATCAAAATATCACAAGAC